ATGAGAGGCAATTACTGATTGGCTGCCTCCTGCATGCTCCCCACTGGGGATCGAGCCCGCAACCTGGGCATGTGCCCTTGACCGGAATCGAACCTGGGACCCTTAAGTCTGCAGGCCGATGCTCTATCCACTGAGCCAAACCAGCCAGGGCAAGATTTGTATTCTTTACTAACTTTTCCATGGACTGCTGTACAATTTTTCTTATTGTTTCCAAGAGCTCTTTATATATTATGGGCATTACCCCTTTTTGTTATGCGTTATAGTTTTCTCTGTTTGTCATTTGTCTTGACTTTGTTCAGGGTGATTTTTTTACCTTGTACATTTTCTTCTGATGTTTAGATGAAGTCGCCTGTTTAGACATTTCTTTTACGGCATCTGAGTTTTGTGTCAACCTGAGAAGGTGGCTACCTTTGAAAAGGTAGAAGGTGGGAAGGAGCATTCTGACAAGACCGAATATCAGGTGCAATGATCCTGAGGTCGGAGGGGAAATTGGCACATATATTACTCAGGGTTCTCCAGAGAAACAGAAACAATAAAATGCATGTGTAAAGAAAGAATGATTTACTTTTTAAAAAATTTGCCTTATGATTGTGGAGGCTGACAAGTCCAAAATCTGCAGGATAGGCTGGCAGCCTGGAGACCCAAGAAGAATTGTGGTTGGAGTCAAAGGCAGTCTGCTGGCACCCTCCTTCTTTGGGTGAAGTCAGTCTTTGTTCTATTAGGGCCTTCAACTGATTAGATGACACCCACTTACATTATGGGCAATAATTCATTTTACTCAAAGCCTACTGATTTAAAGGTAAATCGCATCTAAAACATACTTTCTCAGAAACATCCAGACTGGCATTTTATCAAACATCCCAGCACTTAGCCTAACCAAGTAGACAAATAAAATTAACCATCACAGTCCACCCCTTCCCAAACTTGGCACACACACCTCTCCTTAAATGATACTTTCATAGTACATAATGTGGGGCCCATGCTTCTCTCACTGTTCCCACCGGGCCCAGCAAGGCCAGGATCAAGTCCTCCATCCACATGGAGAGAACAGGCTCCAGGGTTGTGCGTGGGCATAGAGGAGATCAGAGGCTGGTGTTATCGGTGCCCTGGGTGGAGGAGTGGCTGGCAGAGAGTGCAGAGGGTTGCCCACGACTCCTAGGAAGAGGTGAGATTGCTCACGACAGACTTGGGAGTGTGAAAATGGGAGGGGCACGCGTCTGAAAGGCTGTAGAAGAAATTGATGCCACAGGTAGGGTTTGGAGCTGGGGAACCTTAGCCTGGTCTAAATGAGAATCCACCCAGCAGCCTACGGTGGTGGGGGTTTCCTCATCCTCCTCACTTCCTATAGCATTAGAGATAGCCTGTCCCACATTCCGTGTGTGTGTGTGTGTGTGTGTGTGTGTGTGTGTGTGTGTGTGACTGGCAGTGCCTTGGCACCATGGTGTGAGGCGGGTTTCTCCTGAGGTCTGGGATGACTGGTCTGTTGCAGTCATTGTGGTTCTAAATTCAAGATCCTCATACCTTGAGCTTGGAGGTGCTGCCCCTGGTGGGAAGAAGAAGAAGTTTCCCCTCACTACCCTGTAACTTCCTGGGGTTGTTGAGGATTCCACAGGTTGAAGCTGCCTTGCCTACCAGGTGGGGAGGTGAGGCATGGGGTCCAGTCCTGCGTGTGGGTGACCTGGAGATCTCGGCCTAACTGTGGGGCCCTCCCTCCAGCTGATGACCACCTGCTACCCAGGAATGGACTGGACGCAGTGGGACAGGGTGGGTGGGGGTAGCTAGGGCCTCCCCCTCACCTATTGTCTGAGAGTACATGTGGGGGAAGAGTGGGGTGGCCTCTGTGCTCCACAAATAAGTGACTTTCCGCTCTGGAAAATTCCTGCTTGTGAACAATACTGGCAGGTGAGTCACAGACACACAGAAAGACTCAGGGTGAAATAGCGAGAGAGAGCCTATGAGAAAGGCTCGATAATGATTGATAGGTTGAATGAATGAATGAAGCCTTGGACTGGGGAGGAGAGGACCCAATGCGAACATAGATGAGCTCTGGCAGCTTGCGCTTATTTAATTGATACATTGAGAAGATGTGTCCAGGCTGAAGGACCAGGTTCTGGTTTCTATTGTGCTGGAGGGCCTGAAGGCAGAGGGTCCTGCCTTCATCAGGACTCCAGGGTGGCTGAGGATGAGGGCAGAGGGAGGAGCAGAGACCCATGGTACACTGTGGGGAGAATGCCAGTCTCCTTCCTATAAGGCTGGACGCCAGACCCTTGCAGGGAAAGGAAGGGCTGAGAGAGACCTCTATGGCATCCTCAGGGCAGGTTCCAGAGAAAGCCCCTAGGACAATATCTCAGGAATAAGACAAGGGTCTCAAGGTCTATGCATTTCTTACTAAAGGTTATTCTTACCAAATGCTATTCTTGCTAAATGTTAAAATGTAACAGTATTTTACAGACCTAGAAGTAACCTTATGAACTGGACCAGAACCCAGTTAAGATGTTTAACTAACTGCAAAGAAACCAACATGCAATTAACAAAATTTGGATGAGTTTCGCCAACTGCCAAGGAGAAACCAACAGGTAATTAACAAAATGGTGTATCTAATCCATGATTAAACCTCTTTTCTAAGAGACAGATGTGAATCCCCCTGTCCTTTACTTGCTGCAAGTAAATAGTAAAACTGTAACAGGGTTGTAAGAAGCCAGCAAAATTCCTAAGTAAGTAGAATAAGGAAACAAACAAGAAGTTAAACAAGATCAAACAGTTTGGACAACTCGAAGCAAAACCTTAGAGTGAGAACAAATGTCTAGTCCTCTCCTCACTAACCGAAGAATGCAGCAAGGCAGGGGAGTTTTAATGTCTCTTCTCCCTAACCAAACAATACATACCTAAATCACCTTGGAACTGCTAAGGCAGGACTGGAAAGGGGGAAGGAGGAGAGAAGAGGGAGTTTTCATCTCACTGTTTAGTAAACAGAGAAGCCAGCAGTCAGGGCTTGTTAAAGATCAAGTCATCAGATGCTTCTGATCAATTCTGGGAAAGCCATTGCAAAGTAAAAGGGAGACCTTGAGGGTTACTCTGTACCAAGATATCTGGCAGAGGACTTTTAAAACCTACAGATAGAAAAGTAGAAAAATACTAACCCTCCCATCAGGCTCCCTCCTCACATTAACTGAGAAAGCCCATTTGTGCTTCGTAAGCTGGATGCATTTGATAGGTTAGCTTGCCTTGCTTTTTTGGAGACATTTACTGGCTTTATTTCTTTAATAAATTTGTTTACTACATGAGAATGACAAGAACTGAGGAGAGGGCAGCTTTCTCTCCCTCTGACTCAGGGGGCTGTCCGATGACACCTTTCCTGGTGTCTATAACAAGTGGTGCCTATAACGAAGCTGCCGAAGGACAACCATGTCTCATTCTTGAACGGCGAGAGGGGAGGTCCTTCCCTGCCCCAGGAAGCTCCCGGGGCCTTGGTACTTAAACAGCAGGGGGCTGGTAGCTTTCAGAGGTCCTGGCTTAATACAATCGATATGATTGATGGTCAGGCAATCAGATCAGCCTAATGAGTTCAAATCAATCCAGTGTTATCTGTTCCCTGCTTGACTCACTAATTCAGTAGTGGTGCCCTGAATAGTACACCCCAAGCTGTGAACCCTTTGAGGTTTGGTAGCAGGAACAGGCTGAGCAAGGTCTGGGGAGATGGAGTGAACTTGGACTGAACAACTAGTAGAGTGGAGGGAGATGGGAACAGACAGTAGGCCACTGGAGAGCTGTGTGGAGGTGGAGGGAAGAGCCAGTGTCCAGGTGATGACCCCACTGGGGTATCTGCCCCAGGTCATGGTGGGCTGGACAGCCCACAGAACAACACTGCCTATTGTTGTCTCAACTAATGGGATGGGGCCTAAGGACTGGGTCTGGGGTTGGGTTTTTGGGAGTCTGAAACCCCAGGATGGGGTATCCTGATGTCCATCTTGGGGCAACCCTGGAGGAGAGTCTCTGGGGATCAGAACATAGGGGATGAGCTAGGGCATTAGTGGGGTCACTACAGGATGATTCTGGAGGCCAGAGCCTTCAGGAGGGGCTGAGAGAATCCGTTAGGAGGTTCATTGTGAGCTGGGCCATTCGAGTGTATTTCTGGGGCAGACTTAATGCAAGGGGTTGAGCTGAGAGCAGTGGGGGCCAAACTGGGACATTGGGGTCTCAGAACATGGCGTTCTTGAAGATACAGATAGGGAATGGGCTCTGGATGGAAGGAAGAATTCTGGGGGAACAAATCATGCTGGGTAGAGTTTTGGGAGAGGTTGAAACTTGGGGAATGGGCTCTGGACACTGGAGGTCCCTTAGGGAGCCATTATAGGGGTGACCCTTGAGCATAACATAAATCTTTGTGGTGTATATGGGAGTTTGGCACTTGTGAGGGGGGACTTAGGGGGCACTCAGAACATCAGGGTGTTTGGTAACATTGGGTAAGAAGAAAAGGGAAACCAACCCCAGGAGATGGGTTTGGGGTGCTCAGAACCAGGATGTCTTGGCAAGTGGATTCTGGGAGGGGCTATGTTTGCAGGCATTAGAAATAGGGGGCAGATTATAAGGGTGGACCCAGGGGCTGCAGCACTCATGGAAAGATTCTGGGAATGGGGTTTGAGCGTTCTGGTGCAAGTTCTTGGAGAGGAACTGGTTATGGAAGTGGGTTTGGGGATCTTCGATGAACATACCAATGGTGTGAATTGGGGGAGGGGGGACTTAAAGCCCAAGGGAATCTTGAGGGACTATATAAAAACCAGCAGTTCCTGGGGGTGGGAGATTAAGGCATCCATATCTTGGGAGTGCATTTGGGTGGGGAACTAAACCGAGAGTGCCCTGTGGTGCGCTAATCATGAGAAACGGGTTTGGGTCAGCGTCTGGGTGGGCCCAGGAGTGCACCAGACCGACCCTGGGGAAAGGCAGGGCAGAGCTGGCTGGGTAACAAAGCTTTACTGCCCCTCCCCAAGCCCCTGCCACACTCAGTAGCATTTGCGGTACACGATGTGGGGCCCCTGCTCCTCGTATTGCTCCCTCAGGACCCAGCAGGACTGGAAGGCCGGCAGAGAGGCAAGGATGGAGCCCCCGATCCACACCGAGAAGTTCCGGGAGGGCTGGGCGGCCGCCACCACCACGCGCGCTTCCGGCCCGCACCTCCGGGGCCACCTTGCTAAGACTCCGTTCGGCCATGGTGGGAACGCCCACGGGCGACAGCCCGGGCATCTCCGGGGGGCTGAACAGCAGCTCTGGACACTGGAACAGCTCCTTACCCAGCGTGACCGTCCGGCCGTCGGGCAGCTGCAGGCCCCGCCGGCACTCTTGCTCGGGCTGGGCCTGTGCCTTCTGGAAGTCGGGGGCCACGTAGCAATAGCTGTGCTTGATCTTCTCCACCACGTCCAGGTCCTGCTGCCCCAGCCGCAAGCTGGAGCCCAGCAGCATCTCCGCCAGGAAGGTAGTCAGGTGGGTGCCCGCCAGGTCCAGGCGCTCGGTGGCGTGGGGCAGGTGGTAGCCCTGGAAGACGGGCACCGTGGAGGTGACTCCGTGGCCCATGTCCACCACCAGCCCGCTGACCCGCCCGTGGGCGTAGACAGACAGCACGGGCTGCGAAGCCACGTACATGGCGGGGGAGCGCATCGACTCAAAGGCCACCTCCACCAGCTTCTCGCGGTTGGTGGAGGGGCTGAAGGGCTGGTCGGAGAACAGCAGCGGGTGGTCCTGGGTGGCGATGCCCAGGTCGTGCTCCAGCAGGTGGCGCCAGATGAACTCCGCCGCCAGCCAGTCCACCAGGATGCCGTTCCTTACGGGCTTGGCCAGCGTCAGCTCTGGGCGCGCGAGGGCGGCCTGGCCAATGAAAGTCTCCAGCACCATCTGGCCCGCGGTGGCTGGCTTCTTGGGCTGGCAGCCCACGATGGTGGCCACGGTGTAGGTGGGCCGGGCCTGCCCCGCGAAGCCCACCTTACAGGTGCCGGTGCCCATGTCGATGACCACCGCGCTGGTCTTTGGTGGCAACCTGTTGCCCACCATGCTGGGGTGTCCTGCTGTAGGGTCTTGTTCACCAGGATTGAGTTGGGGGTCACCCCTGGCCTGGGGGCCTCCGGGGCTCAGAGAGGTTGGGGTGATTTGTATCCATAGTTTCAGGTGGGTGGGTGGGCTGTTGGGCAAGGCTGACCGCTTTCCTCTGGGGTGTGGGGGAAAAGGTTGAGGTTGGGCCAGGGCCAGGCACAGGCAGAGACAGGGAGAGGGGGCTGGTCTATGACATCAGCCAGCCTTCTGTCCCCGTCAGAAGACTTCACAATGCAGGGCTAGGGGTGGGGTCCTTCCCTGCCCCCAGAAAGCTCTGGGGGCCTTGGCACTTAAATAGTAGGGGGCTGATAGCTTTCAGAGGTCTTAGCACAATACAATCAATAGGACTGATGATCAGGCAATCAGATCAGCCTAATGAGTTCAAATTAATCCAGTGTTACCTGATTCTGGCCTGATTCACTAATTCAGTAGTGGTTTAATAATAATGATATGCATGTTCTATCATCTTCTCTTCATTTATTGGCTAGAGTATTATATATATATATATAAATTTCAGAGAGGAAGGGAGATAGAAACATCAATGATAAGAGAGAATCATTGACTGGCTGCCTCCGCCCCACACTGGGCACTGAGACCGCAACCCAGGCATGTGCCCTGACTGGGAATCCAACCATGACCTCCTGGTTCATAGGTAGATGCTCAACCACTGAGCAACACTGGCCAGGCTAGAGTAATTATTATTTATACATCTTGTGTATCATTGCACAGTAAAGAAAATGTGAGTTTTAACACAACCTTCCCTGAAAAAGTTTCCCTAACATATTAAAGTAATAACAGATTACATCAATGGGAAATTCACCAAAAAGCCTTGACCTTTAGTTTTTGATTTTGATCTAATTTATAAATTCTTTTTTAAGATTTTTTAAATTGATTTTTTTTTATTTTTCTTTTTTTAGAGAGAGAGAGAAAGGGAGAGGGAGATAAATATTATCAATCAAACATAATTAATCTGCTGCGTCCTGCATGCCTCGTGCCCCCGTTAGAGGGCTGAACCTACAACCTAGGAATGTACCCTGACCAGGAATGCAAGCTGGAGCATTGGAGTAGGATCACTGGTCAAAAGGCAGTTCCATTTTTAACTTAATGAGGAAACACCATACAGTGTTCCACAGTGGCTGCAACTTTCTGCATTCCCACCAACAGTGCGTGAGGGTTTCCTTTTCTCCACAATCTCCTCAGCACTTATTTGTTGATTTATTGATGGTAGCCATTCTGACAGGTGTGATGTGATACCTCATTGTCATTTTAATTTGCATCTCTGATGATTAGGGATGTTGAGCATTTTTTTCATATCTCTATTGGCTAGCTGTATGTCCTCTTTAAAGAAGTGTGTATTTAGGTCCATTACCCATTTTTTAATTGGATTGTTTGTCTTCCTGCTGTTGAATTGTATGAGTTCTTCATATTATTTTGGAAATGAAGGCTTTATCAGATGTATCATTGGCAAATAGATTCTCCCATACAGTGGGCTCCCTTTTCATTTTGTTGATGGTTTTTTTTTGCTATGCAGAGCTTTTTAGTTTGATGTGGTCCTATTAGTTTATTCCTTTGTTTCCCTTGTCTAGGAGATGTATCAGCAAGAATATTGCTATGAGAGGTATCTGAGATTATATTGCCTGTTTTTTCCTAGGACTTTTATGGTTTTGCAACTTACATTTAAGTCTTTTATCTCTTTTGAGTTTATTCTGTGTATGGTGTAAGCTGGTGGTCTAGTTTCGTTTTTTTGCATGTATCTGTCCAATTTTCCCAACACCGTTTATTGAAGAGACTGTCTTTACTTCATTGTATGCTCTTGTCTCCCGGGGTCCAGCCTCAGGGGTCCAGGGGTTCCCAAAGGTGTGGACAGAGTCCTCGAAGAATGTTTTACACGGAGACAGCGTTCAGAACTCTCTAGCTCTCTTTAGTCTCTGTGCCTATT